ATATATATATATATATATACATGTTCTTTATTTAAGGACCATCATAGAAAATGGAAAAGATAAGAGATAAGAGTATACATCAACAAGATGGATGCAAGAATAGAGATGATGGACGTATATTACCTCAACAGGGGACAAATTACTCGTTGAGATACCATTGGTATCGAGCATATACGATCTGAATATCAAATCGTTGCATGTTCTTGTATCATATATGCAAGACTTGATATCATTCCATTTATCATTATCATGCACCTTCAGTTCAAGCCACTTAGGTGAAGCAACTATCCTTCGGCTCTCCATCTTAAACTCTCCAAGGATCCCGAGCCCTACTACGAGCGTCAAAATCATCAACACGACGATCACGACGAGTCCAGGTACGGGAAACTTAGCCCTGGTGTAAATCACAGCATTGCTTAGGAAGAAAATAATCAACATGCCAATGCCAACCCCAATTTGCACTCTGGGCAAGTTTTTCAACAGCCCTTCACAATCATATTGCTGAATGTAAAGCAACCATATACCTAAAAACAGAATTGGAATAGAAAGAAGAAAAGTAAGAAGGGCTATTGGAAGCACAATTTTCTTGGAATTAAGTGATTTTACTACTGGCATAATCTCTTTTTTTGGTTCAGCGGGTGGAGGATTATCAGGAATTTCTTCTTTGGTTGCAGGTTTTTCTTCAACAACTGTCAGTGCTAATGCCTCTGGTGGTGGATTATTAGCATTATTTTCTGGTTCAGCCATGTTAATGGATGATTAGTTTGCTGATGTTAATGTAAAAATACTTTGATTAATAAAGTGTTTGTTTGAGGTATTAATTTACTAAGTCAATTCACTGAATCTGCTATAAACTCTCCAGTTTGAGAAATTACAGGAAAGGTGGTTGTAAGAACAAGTCCAATCTCCCCAACCGAATCTAAGTTTGAACGTACTTGCCTTAAAAACATTTTGACTAGACTAGTAAGAAAAAAATAATATTAACAATTAATTATTGAATTGAATTATTATCGGGAGTATCGACTATTATAGAAACACCTTCGTCTTTCGAAAAATTAGAGAAGGCTCTATTTAGAATTTTTTTTTT